AAGATATCCAACTTGTGAGTCAAAAATCGTTTCTTTTTCCCCCTCAAGTGTGCTCTCACGCTTTTATGCATTCGATCTTTACGAGAAAACTCGCAATGCATAGAAGCTTAATAGTAGACCCGAGTTATGTCTCAATAGATAAATAGAGTATCCAAAGAATATCTGACAAAAACGAGAAAGAACATTTATATAGTCTTCTTGACAGTTTTAGATACAGGAGAAAGATGTCCCTGCTAGGAGGTATAATCTTTCAAAATCTGACAGCCGTGAACTGTCAATATGACTGGTGCTTTCCTGTCGGTCTTAGGCAGTTAGATAGGAATTCAGCCATCTTAACTCCCGAACCAAATGACATTGTCGTCAGATGTGAAGCGCCGATTTGTGCCGCAGAATAGCAACTTCTTCTCAACCCCCTTATGTAGCTACGATGTCATTCGAGTAAACCTGTTCGCTAACTATTGTCCTTAACTGGGTCAACGAGACTAGAAAATTAGCATATATCCTCACTGTCACTCTTGTTTTTTTTCTAATTAAGTTATTACATTTTTAAATGGAGGCCATTTTGAATCGATTCACTTTTATGAACTTCGGTATCAATTAATATAAGAGCTAGACTCGTTCTTTTAAATATGAAATGGGTGTAAGGTCATTAAGGCATTCATTTTAAACGTCAACGAACCCATTTTATTGGATATAAACGTAAAGTACGATTAAACAGGTTATGAAGAACTTAAAATTTTATATCATAAAGCAGTTTTAAAAATATTTTTTTTTCCAGTAAGAACATTAAAATATTATCGAGTTCATTTCGCAAAAATGATAAAATGATTGTATGAATTCGTATAAGATTCATGAGAAACTTTCATGAGAATGAAACACGCAAAATGATCATATGCAGCCTAACGTAACAGGAGGTTTTTGTAGTTTTCTATCGTTAACATTCCATTCAATGGTATTCTTCCATTAAAAAAAACAATCAAAATGATGAAAAACTTGCTATGAAGCCAAAGCGACGTCATAATTTATAAAGGCAAGAAAACCAAGCTAGATAATTTTCGAAGTTTTCGACTTTAGTAAACAAGTAAAAGTTTACTTTCCAGCAAACAAAGACGTAATATAACAATCCTAATTGATCTTTAAAGAATTAAAAGTTTTCGACTTGTTTACGAAAGTTTAAAACATAGCATAATTGATCCATTAAAAAAATTCTTAAAAACTAATTTATTAAATTGCTTTATGACATTTTTCCTTTTTGTAAAAGTGCTTAAAATTTCAAACAATTAAAGTCATAAACCAAACCACCAACTTTTCGACTCCCCAAAAGGAGATAAGCCATATGTTAAGATGTTTGGATAAACAAGTTTATTATTTCTTAAGAGATTTTATTGCCTGTTTACAATTGCCTATAGAAGAAAGACAGTGACTTATCTTAACGTGAATGGGTTTCTCGTTCTCCCCTTTTATCTTATTTTATTTTTTCTTTTTTTTTTATAAATCTATTAAATTGATCTGATTGGGAATAGAGTTTACCTTCTTTTTTCGCTCAGTTTGCTTTCTTCTTCAATCTCGTTTATTGTCTTTATTCGAGAAAAACAAGAACAGGAGAGAAATTGCCGGTCCGGTCAAGTTGATGAGAATGTCATCAAAGACAGTTATGGATAGACGCCGACCATCAGCCTAGAGGTTTAGACGGTAGGATTTACTTTCTGACGTTCTGTTGCGGATTAATGTGCCTTGTCTTAGCTCTAATCCTCCACCTTATCCCGGCGTCTAACGAGGGATCCCCAGACGTTCGAATCACGTGACGGGGGCGACAATCTCCAACCGACCTCCACCCCCGTAATGTCCGGACCAATAATATCTGAGCTTGTTAATAGGGATTAAGCACCATTTTTTTATTTTTTTATTTTATTCTCTTTTTTATGAGGTATGAGCCGAATTTTTCTAATACTAGATATGAGCGAAGTTTCTTTTTTTTTTTTATGCGAAGAAATCTTCAGTTCAGTTTTGTTAACTCGATTGTTGCCCTTATCGGGATTCAACCACCGGATAATATGATCGTCTACGATTTAAGTCGAGAGAGTCATTGAAAATAGGAAAATGGACACAACAATTTATTGAACAGCGAATGCATCCGGGCACATCTCTAGGTCGTCGCTATCTAGCATTTGAACTGTCGCCACATCTTTCACTAGAAACGATCTTTCCCAGCTTCTATTTAGTGGCATTACACTCGACATCTTTCTAGAAAATCGTTATGGGTACAAATTAAACATTTATCTTTATCAAAGTATTTTTTTTATGTTCTAAGTTTTTACTGTTTCCTATAAGAAATAACAATTCTTTCATCAGAAATGACAAAACGGTCGGGTGTGGGACATTTTAAAGGGAAACAATTTTTTTGTCATTATATCTTTTCTCCTTTTTAAATTGGGGATTTTTACTACTTTTTCTCGGTATCTAAGGAAATTTTACAGCTTATAATTATGATAAAATCATAATTATATAAACGTTAATAATCGATAAAAGTCGAAATTTCGTCTCCCAAAAGATTTCACTTTCGGTATTGAATCTAGGTTAGACAATTTCACGCGATTGTAACGTTAAGTGCGGACTTAATTGTTTAATTTTAAAATAACGGGGATTGCTCTCTTCTAATTATCTTTCGGCAATAAGAAACTGGTACTAAACAAACCGTCTGTCAACAAGAAAAATAAGAAAAATGACCTATTTCTAAGTAATGTTGATGACACTAGCTCACAAAATAAATACACCCTATACTTTCCGGGAATCGTAACCAAATATTAATTACGTCACAGTTAGTCTGTGCTTGCATGAATGACGACACAAAAGACCACGCGGTGTGACCTTCACACGACCAGGTGAGGATAAGAAGGGAACCTGACGTCATTCGCTCCCGAACACGGCTAATGGTTCTTTAAGTGGGGATACACACCAGTTTTTAAGCCCTATTTTTCTCTACGTATTGTCAGAGGAATATTATACCGATCCCTTCTTGGAAATTTTAGGATACTGTTCTTTATTATGTCTGTATTATCTTACTGAATTCGGTATCCATACGAATCATGGGTGAGTTTCTTAATTGTTTTAGATTATTTTTAGCATTATTTTGAAAAAAATAAGCAAATTTTTCAACCTTAAATAAGAAATGAAAAATGCAATTATTAAATGATTTAAGCAATAAAATTAAAAAGCAAATTTTAAAATAATTAATAAGCATTTTTCTAAATGCATTTCACTTTTAAATGTAGTTAATAAGGATTTTTTTAAATTATAAACGATAAATAAAATAGACCTTTAACACTATATATGATAAAAAAAATATAAATGTGATAATTGGAAAGAAAATTTCAACACAATTAATTAATAATTGTGCATTTCTGGAAGAGAAGATTGCAAAACGAGAATCATTTCAAGAACACACATGAAAAACGAGCATTTTCACGGATAATAATTGCAAATAAACACGCATTTCTACAATACAAATGACGTAAGGATATTTCTAAGGAGAGACATAAGCATCTAAAAAATATAAATAAAGGAAAAAAGTCATCTATCTTAAGGTATAATCTTCAGTAGAACATTTCAAAGATGTATAAAAGATAAAAGAGAGTATCTTAGAAATGTAAACAGTAAGAACTATAAATAAAAATAAAATAAGAAAAAATAGATTTCAGAAGAGGTAAAAACCGCGGCAGCAGATTTGGTTGAAATAAAAAAAAAGGGGGGAGTCGATACCTATCTGAAGCATGTTTGATATTCCCGTTTACGATAATTCACTGAACTGTGGTTAACCCACCAGCCAAGCTTTGCTTCAACCGGAAATTGCGTAACCGTCTCCATGGCACGTGCTCTGCAAGAGGAAGTGACGAGATTGCTTGGAATGGTTATAAGACCGATTTTAAACTACCGTCGACAATTTGCTCAAATTTTTTTATGCACGAAGCAACAACCCTTCTTTAGAATCAACATCCTTCGATTCTGTTTTCTTCCTTCTTCCAATCTGTAAGCAGATTTGTAAAAATTGATACTTTATCTTCTACCCACAAATTTTTTTTCTTTTTTAAATTAAGAAAAATTATATATAAATTCGTAATTTTTCTTAATTTAAAAAGCGATAAAATGCAATAAATTTTAATATGTAAACTTAAGGGTTTTTGACCTTAACTTTTTATTTATTTAAAAGAACTAATTAACTTTGCTATTCAGTTGTAATAATTTCCCAGATCGCTTAACTTTGCTCTGAAAACCAACACATCTCACGTTTGAATGATTTTCACCTTTGTAGAACAATGAAGAGAATATTTGATTTGAAAACAAGTTCTGATATTTAGTTTGTTTCAAATGGTTAGAGCCTGTGAAATCTTTTGTTGCTTTTTTCATGGAAAAAAGCAAAAAATAAAGTTTACTTTACCAATGTAATATAGATTTAAATTAATTCTTTCGGTCAATGGAATCGAACATAATTATCCCTTTTTTTTATTTTTATTATTATTATTTTTTTTTATTCTCCTTTATTAAATCACTTTGGCTCTTCAGCGCGTTTTTATTGTTACTTGTTTTTACCTTGTTTTTTGTTATGACGCGAAAACTGAGTGAATATCGAGAGACACGTGACTCTGATTTTACTCAATCGATGCATTACTGACCCTATTCAATCGCTTATGAATCATAGTCGAACTGGGCATAATGCCGACGACCCTAACGAAGCGGAGCAGATGCGAAAGTACGCTTTCCCTTTTTCTGCGGGTCATGTGACAGCAATTTGAGCGCGATGGAGGCGGGAAAATAGCGTTGACACATGACCACTAGAAGCATCTTTCACCTCCGCTGTTTTATTGCCTTTCACTGGATGACCCTGAGAAGGAACGCATCTTTACGTCACGTCGACTCCACAACTTCAGGGTTAGGTGTACACGCTCCGGTTGCCAAATTACTTCATAGACTGATGAACGATCCAGGTGAGGCGGGACACTTACCTTGAAATTTATTTCCATTTGTGCGTGGACACGATCCGCGATATGGTTCCTATAATTAAGATCACGTCCCAGAAGTGGAAAGACTCCATATTAATTTATTTCATTATATTCGTCAACTCCGGACAAACTGAAACGTAAAGTAAGTATTCGTTTCATTATTTTACTTATTTTAATTAAAAAAAAAGGCCCTAATTTATCTTTTATATAGAATATCGTAAAAATTATCGCTCTATAAATTCCCCCGTATTATGTATAAGCATAATAATAAGCCATTCCGAATATTTTAATGTTTCAAGTCCTACACAAAACAGTAATTGCTGACTCACATTTAATGATTTCCTGTCGAACTCGAACAAAAAATATATATTTATAATAGAAAAAAAAAATAAAGATAGATTCTGATAATCCAAAAATTCCCTCTATGTTGCAACAAAGTGCAAGGACGGTATTTAGCCCCGGGCCATTCTGGACATGTCACTTCCCGAACCGTTCTCTGTTTCCGTTCCCCGTGACGTCATACATTTACCCGGATATGACGTAGAACTATAAACAGGCTTCTTTTAGGTTCTTCTAGTAGACGAGATTGGAAAAAGTTTCCAAGAAACAAAATGAGATTTTTTTAAAAAAAAAAAAGAATAAAATAATATATATAAATATATATAAAAGAAAATTTATTTTTTTTATTATCGAGAAATTATTGCATTTTATGTCTCGCCTCGAATGTTTATCGTCTTTCAATTTGTTCCCGAGATGTATATAAAGCGAAATAGAATATTGCCAACCAACCATTGAAGGTACCTGATGCATATGGGTTGCTTATGTACACCTGTTCAAACATTTACTTACATGCAGATGCACGATCCGTGTATGCCTCACTTCCCTCTTTTTCGCTTATTTAGACATTGTGCTAACTGACTGGTAATGTTGGACGGCAGACACATTCGTGTTTGGCAAACATTTCGACTTCAAAAATTTTTAAACAGGTTTAATTATCCATTTTCCCAATCCACTTTTACCGAATAAGCAACTTTTATAGCAATAAAAGAAATATAAATACTACGAATTGTATTTAAAATTCTGTTTTAATTTTAGGAAATGAGTTTTTCCTAACTCAAAAAAAGAATTAGAGAAAAAAAAAACACATACAAAATTCTTTTCTCGTTATTCTATTATGGAATTTACCTTTTTACCAATAACAAATCTGTATGATACAAAGGCTCCACTGAGTAGAACATGCGAGAGAAAAAGACACGCACCTTTCCTTTTTGGATTTTATAGCAGATTTTAAAGCAATAAGTGACATAAATGTAAGTTGAATCACTTTTTTTTTCTGCAAACAATTTGCGATAAACGTTTCCGTAGAATTACATATGGATATATTAACAAACTATATAGATAATGACAAATTAATAGTTAAAAAAAAGAAATTTCACCTCATTATTCTTTCGTTAATAGTTTTATAAGATCTAAAAGCTTTTATGTAGAATAAGTCACTTCGCTTCGGTGGCTCCTAAATGAAGAAAAGGCGCCATTTTGAAGATATGCTTTGTTACTCTTCGTTGACAACAAACGAATGTAAAGCGGCACATAAGTATTATTCGATTGTCATAACGGGAAAATTATACGTGCCACATACACCCGGAATTAATTTCGAATGGATTTTATTTTATTTTATTAAATTCTAATGATTAAAAGTAGTCCGTTTGTCGCCGAGAATATTAGCCGTGGCTAATGATAAGCCTGGCTGAAAATTATTATTGAAGTCCCTCCTCTCGTATAAAACCAAGTTTTCGGCATTGCCAGCGCATCAAAAATAGGAACCTGTATTCAGCGGGAGATATCTTAAAGTATACAGGGGATAGTTTGGCACCCACCCCCACAGGTAAATATAAATCTCCGGGTATGACGAGCCCTTGACAGGTCCATACATCTCGTCCTATCAGAATTACTATCAAACTCCACTCCCCGGTACACTACTAGAACAAATCGGTGTGGATGCATCGAATGGGCTGGCTGAAGGAAAACAATGCAATATTAATCACTTAACCCTTCCCATTTATGATAGTGTGGGAGACACTGTATTACATGAAAACTTATGGACTTTCCACGATAAACACAGATTGACTTTCTTCTAAGAAACGATTGTTACTCGAAAAATAGTATATATATATGGATGTAGACGTATTCCTCTTGACAAGGTACAGATAAGTGCAGTTATTTATCAGCGTGTGGGAAAAGAAGGCTGTCATTGAACGTGTCGTGAAATCATTTTCCATGTGACACCTTATGTGAATACTCTACTTAAATTGCACAAGAATGATGTGATTTATGACTTCATTCTACTTGACTGATTATCTATTTTATAAAAGAAAATTCCACTAACTGTAATCCTAAGCATTTTTATAATAATATTCATATTAAACTCCGCTCTCTTCCACTAAGAATAAATTTATCTTGCCAAGAAGGAAATAACTTACGCCTCTTTCATTTTTTATATATTTATCATCATTTTTTAAAACTTCAAATATGGAAGCAAATAACAGCTTTGTTCAAAGAAAGAACAGTAAAGTTATGGTAATTTCCCTTATTCGCTGTAGCTAAACCAATTAATTTTCTTATCTCTAAACTAATTTCAAATTTTTACTTGAAATTATTTAATTAATAAATAAAACTTCAAAGTATTTCATTTAATAATAAAAATATTTTAATTGTTATAAATGCTGTCATTTAGAATTCACCTATAAACAACAATGACTAACTAAAATAAGGAAGAGCGATCATTATTTACGCTATTATAACCGAATTTACAATAAACATTATTGATTTAATTAGTAAAGATAATCTTTTCTGAGAATAAAGAAATTTTTTCACTCCATTAAATTTTACTAAGAAAGGTCTATAAGATAATATGTTTACTTGTTTTAAGATAAATTGTTTACTTTACAAGCATGGAAATCTTATCTATGGATAAAAGATTTATAATAAAATAAAAGGTTTTTAATTAAAATATTGTATTTATAAGAGGGTTAACCATTAACAAACAACACCTGCAGGGCATTGAAAACTTAAGAACTCTCATCTTTATCAACACCTGCAAAACACTGTATGACTCATGAAATATTTTAGTTAATCCTACCAATAAAGCACATTATAACTTAACCATATTATAAATTTTTGTTTATAGATAATTTTAAAATATGCAATAACTTTGGAACTATAATTCATTTTATGTTTTTTATTTATAAAAAAAATATTAAGCAATCTTTGTTAAAATTCATTAAAAGCACGTTTATTTTAATTTTGTTTTTATCGATTAGTTAAGAAACAGTTTCAAAATATTAGGTTATTAATAATAAAAAAAAGCATTATTTCATCATAGAAAAAAAATTTTAAATATTTTAATGTTTCAAGTCCTACACAAAACAGTAATTGCTGACTCACATTTAATGATTTCCTGTCGAACTCGAACAAAAAATATATATTTATAATAGAAAAAAAAAATAAAGATAGATTCTGATAATCCAAAAATTCCCTCTATGTTGCAACAAAGTGCAAGGACGGTATTTAGCCCCGGGCCATTCTGGACATGTCACTTCCCGAACCGTTCTCTGTTTCCGTTCCCCGTGACGTCATACATTTACCCGGATATGACGTAGAACTATAAACAGGCTTCTTTTAGGTTCTTCTAGTAGACGAGATTGGAAAAAGTTTCCAAGAAACAAAATGAGATTTTTATAAAAAATTAGTGCGCTATTTAAAATATTTTAAAATCTTCTTACATGAGTTAATGTATCTAGAAAATGTACTCCTTCTCTATTCAATGCAAGGATATATTCCATTGGATGACTATCGCCTCTTATCCACTAAAACAAAATGATATTTTTTTAAAATGGGAATTTAATTATCTTAACGAATCTTAAAAATGACAATTACCTTAACGATAAAGAAACAAGATCCAAAAAGAGGCCATTTTTGAAGAATATCTATTTTAAAAATGCAATTTNAAATGTTATTAAATAAATTATTAAACCATTATACTACAAAGTTTATATTTAATTCTAAGATAAAAAATATCCATTTTGAAAGGAAAATAATTTATAATTTGTTGATGTATATTATTTCCTTATAATGGTGTTATAACAATTTTAAGGACAAATATTAAGAGATTTATTTTAGCCTTTAGCCATTCAGTTATCTATATATGTTGACTGACAACAGTAAACACTTAATTAAGAAGTAATTGCACTTTCTACACTGTAGAGACTATGTTTATATATAAATAAATGGAATTTTTTAAAAGATAAATTCTAAATTTACAATAATAAGTAGCGGCTTAAACTGTAATAAATAGCTTATGCTCGTAGTAGTGATATTGAATGAATGGAAGCAGAAACAAAAAGAGGCTCTTGAGAGTTGGAGCAGCTGACAGAATGCATGGGAGAGTGAAAAGAAGATATAAAACATTTATGGTAAAGACCTTATGAATGTTGAGGAACTATAAATAAAAATAAATAAATGATAATGCGTGGCTGATACTAATTCTAAAGGTATCATGATGCAATAACCAGAGAATGCAATAACTATTTGTTCTATATAATTACTGCGTTGTATATTTAGAGAGGTTATTTATATAGAAGCGAAGATGGTAAAGGCTCGTGTTCACATTATTCATGAAAAATTAATGAAATTTTCATATATTCAATCGAATAAAGGACTGCACAATAAAAGAGAATAAAGAAAGAAGACAGCTTTGATGTAGTTCTTTGTTTAGGCCTTACTAAAGCTTATTATTTTATAAATTGTATTGTATTTTATGCGGGGGTAAGTAGAAATATACATAAAAATATATAAATAGAAATTTATTTTATATTTAAAATGATATAATCGTTTATTAATTAAAAATTTATTTTTTAAAAGAATAAAATTTAATTCAGTTTGATTGATAAGATTTTAATTAAATAAATAAAAAACTTTAATTAATATAGATTGTAAAAGGTAAAAAATCGAATGGAATTGATGAATTTATTAATAGAAAGGCATAAAAGGCAAGGCGACTTAAGCGACAAATATGAGAGAATGATCGCCATGTGGCGACTAACTTGTTTAGAACATTGAATTTAGCGCTCTTTCTGGCTTCTCTCTGTCACTCCACGAAAGAGACCACCCATTCATGCAAACTAGAAATTTTCGACCGACACAGCTTGCTATCATACAGGGCCAACTTAACTGCGCCTCGCTATTGGTCTCCCTAGTGGGTGCCTGACCCTGTTAGAGGCTAAGTACCTCATCTAGGAGGTAACTTGATAGATGCCTCCCAGATGCCAGCGTGCTTTCCCTACAGCTACTGTCAAGAGTGTGCATGGAGTCGGGCATATATTCCAAAATGATATACGAAGAGCAGCCATAAATCATAGCGGCTCGCTGGACTGGAGAGTCGTGTGTCAGTGGTGCAAGCCAATCGGAGGTGTTCCTTTCTAACGTCTGCCAGTCAGTTACTACGCAACCGAGAACCTGTCTGGTCAGTGGCAGGCGGGACCGAGACGCGGCTTGCGTAATTCCAACCTCCTCAGGAGCAAAACTCCCGATGACGGAGAGTTGCGAGTTCAAAGTAAGTACTTTGACAGTTGTAATTCCGCGCACTTAACTTTAGCGACCCGCGAGAAACACACGAATTATATCATACGCCACGTAGAGGTAGAAGTTCGATACTTGCCTTTGTGTGTGTGCGTGTCGTCACCGTCCCGGCCTTCCAAAGATAGGCACCATTACAACGAGATATTTCGGGACTCGTAAGATAAGTCTGTGGAGTGAGACGAGAGGGACCTAACAAAAAAGAAAAAAGTAAATAAAAAATAAACGGAGCTGCTCGGTGGATGTCGGTGGTCCGTGGCCACCCGTCGCAGTCGCATCTCGACTAGTAACACATACGCACGGGGCAGGTTCCTCTAAAGTCCCGGGTCACAGGTCACGTGCATGGAATAAGGTGACAAGCGGGCCGAGCCGGGTGTGCATGGTCCGGCCCGGGCCCATTAGGCCTAGCCATTCTACTACACCCTAAAAACGTCGGGAAGGTGTTGGCAGTCGTCTCACTCCGTCTAACGAGCGTCGGAAAGCGTCAAAAATTTTTACCTTGTTTTAGCTGGCTCGAACCTGGCCGGACATAATCGGAAGAACACCGCCAATGGCGAGCGGGCAAGCAATTTGATTATGATAATCGCAATGCATTATTGATAATCATAATAGTGACATGCGCAGAACTGTGTTGTGTATCAATAGTAGAGTTTGGGCATCTTACAGTCTTTGTCATTTTAGACGCCGACTTTGTATCAGGATGTCACGAAGGAAACAAGCCCATCCACGACATATTGACACGATACAAGAGTTGACGAATCTGCTGGAAAATGGTGAGTGCCTTTTTTCTTCTTTTTCTACTTTTTTTTGCTTCAAATTTTTCCAAAAGTAATTGTCGTCTGCTACATTCCGACTCTTCTTCCTCTCGCTCTGCCTCGGATCGAGCCTTTTATTCGGATAAAAATAACTCGCCCGGATGAATACACGCTGGCAGCCATCGACACCGCTGCCACACACTACCCACCGAAACCGGCCCGGACGCTCACCGTTTCGACCCGAGCCGTACCCCACCGTCGCCATTGCCGAGCGGGGGCCATCATCCCACTTTGACAGCACCGACGTGCGGGCCACATCACAAACACTTTGCCACTTGGCGCCTGTGACGGGCCAACGCGCATTTTGCCGCTCGACATTCAGGCCTATAGGCATCACCATAGGCCGTTGACAGTTCGGGCTTCCCTGCTCTATTTTCGATTCTTATGCGCTTTCACTTTTATTATTTCGCTCCTCTTTTTATTTTCGGTGCTCCCCATTTAATTTTTTCTTTTAGGGATTCGGTTTTTGCATCCCATTTTTATTTATTTATTTATTTTTTTTTGGAAAGATTTGCTGATTGGATTATCGTCACTCCGGCCCAACTGGAGAAATATTTTTAAATGGCCAAAAACAAACGCGTTTATTTTTTTATAAGAATATGTTTCTATAAACGAATGGTTGTTGAAGGTTTGAATGGAAATTAAAACTTAAAAAAAAAAAGAAAATTTGTCGAAACGCATCACTATCAACCAATAACGGAACTGTCTAGCAGTCCAATTTTCCAGCAAATAATTCATTCTAGTTAAATTATGTAAAGAAAGTCTTCAGAAATTAAATGGGGACAGAGAAATGTCACGAAAAAATTTTATTATGAGTCGGAAAGGATAAGAAAGTGCAAACATACCTATTAAGAAACCAGCATGATCTGGTGGAACCGGAACCTTTCATTATGACAGTTTCCCTCTGACGGGACGGAAAATTTTAATATACTTAGACTGATATATTAAATCAGAAAGTGAGATTGATTAAAGAGGGAATGTTTGTCATCCCCCGAAGCAACAACAGCATTTAGGCTACTCTACTGTTACTCGTACAGAGATCAAGTGGAGTGACATGATAGATTTTCATAAAGTAGTTCTGGAAACGTCGTTTTTTATAAGGGGCCCTTCTCTTCTTCGATTTGCATCGACAGACATACAGCAGAAATTAAATAAGGCTTTAGGATTTCCAACTAATACCACGTGTTCCTAGGCCTACATGGATTATTGGCCTAAAGAGAATTTTGTAATAAAAGGGTTATAAGTAGTTTCTAATGACTTTGTTTGGGGGTTTAGAAATTCGGTTTCTGTATAAACAGGCATGTTCACTGAATTGTAAAAAGATTTAAGAATGTGTTAATTATTTTAAGATTAGTATTATACAGTCCATTTAGTTTAAAATGCTTGGAGGTGGGGAGGTAACTTTTCCCACAGAAGGGTTGTGGCCACCCATAGTGAACGTATTGGAAAAATATGTTATTCTATTCTAACCCATCCCATAGTTAAATATATTTCTGTAATGGTCCGTCCCATCTGAATTTTGCAATTCTGGTTTGTTCTATTGTTATCGTCTTGTATACATTACTAGCTGCTGGATCAACACCAGTTTGAAAAAAATTTTAGTTTATGGTTGTCACACAATGCATTTTTCCTGTTAAAATTATACGTGTAGACTGTTGCGTACCTGTTAATCCCGACACTAGAATCATATGTACTGCATTGTACTTCTTGGAGCCTTTTGAATCAGTAAAAAGGCTTCAATTGTAAACAAAACCACGCTGTTTGCTTATTTCCAAATTTAGACCAATATTTAGGATGGACAAACGTGAAAATTTGCCATTATTTAAAGGGATGCGAAGCGATTATATTGTAAAACGATCGGAATGTATTATTAATACGTCCGGTGTTTTAAGATCAATAAATAAGAGCGAGTGTAAATTTTAAATCAAACAAATTCAATCAGATTGGCAGGAAATGAGTAGATTTGTATCCATTGAGGGGAAGCCATCACCAGCGTCAGATAGGGACATTTCTAATTGTCAAATAGTATTCGAGAGCATAGTTCGAAAAGTGTTTGCCTCACTTAACTCCTTTCTCGTTAAGCAATTATCTCAGAATCATCAGCAAAGAATTCTAATGAAACGACGATTAGGTTAATTACACTCTTAGAAATTTGGGACATTCCTACTCATAATTACGTGTAGCTCAGGTCTGGTCAGTTCTAAACTAAATAACATCCAACATTGACGCGCTAATGTTAAATTTAGCATGAATAATCATTTTCTGCGGATTTCTCTAAGTTACAAATCGAATTATTAGGAGGTAGTTTTAAAAAGAGGAAGAAAATCCTAAAAAGAAGCCTGAGAAGTTTGAGGTGTTATGCCAAAACGGATGATGAGCAATAATTTGGATAAAACAGTGTGAAGATGAGAAGGTCGGGTGAGATGTTGAGTGGCGGCCATGCAGCTTCGTCTAGTTACGTGAAGAGGGGACACAAACCACCCTCCTAGTCCCACAATAGAACGTCTCATGGCTTTCTGTGACCGTAACTGGAATCTCTTTGTGTCGTCTTCTCCCATCGTTTTTGATTCATTTAGCAACGTCTGGCAATTCATATTCTAGTATGTTCACATGACGGCCGACTTTTGTATAGCAGTGGGGGGGATTCATAAACCGTGTGGGGGCACATCTGCTCCCTCCAAGGTGTCATATGGAGACGGGAGGGGACAATAGAATAGTCCGCTCCAAACGGGTGAGGAGGACTCGCTTTTTTTAGTCTCTCACTCTTCCCCCGCTGACAAAACGCTGCGCACATAGATGCCCAAGAAAATCTACAGGTGTTGAGTTTGTCTCACACTCTTAAATTGGCGCGGACATTTTTTCTTCCCGGTTAAGGGACAGAGTTATCCAACCAGTTCATCCCTTTTACGTTCTATGATTTTGATCAGTTGGTTGAAGAGTGGTGGTTGTAGGGAGGTGGGGTATCGGGTTTCTTCCCTCGGGGGGAAGATGGGGGCCCAACAGGTAATTGATTCTGACAGGAATCTCTTGTCGATGTGACAAGTTACCTAGACAGACAACTGTTCATGTAAATGTCACTAAAGTAAGGTTACAAACTATGAATGCGGGATTTATACATGTAAAGTCTGTAATGTTAGTTCCCCTTTGCACTTCTTCAAGGTCCAACGAAATTAAGTCCCTCCCGCTTTGTGTACGCTTTACTGATGTTAGATGAATTCCAGAAGCTTTCTACCTTGACAGGTGCTTTCGTCTACTCTCACTTTTGTCCAAATTCAATCATCGATCGACATTATTTATATGTCTTCATCTAATGCATATAAATCCGAAAGAGAATGGAAGCAATTTCAATTGTTTTTTTAGTATCATTCATGAAGATCGATAATATTTTTAATTGTTAGTTCTTCTAATTGTTAAAAATAATCGCGAAATGGGATTATAATAACTTGATTAAGAAATTCTTTACAAGGCTGTAAAGTTGCTCTTCCCTCCTTTAAATCCTTTCTGTATTTACATTAAAACCAGCCAGTTGCAAGACTAATTCTGTACAGTGTTTGTTGCTCTTTAGGCCACATTAAAACTGTTTTCTCTATTTATAAAAGTACTACAGGAGCGACTGACTTTACACAGCGATTGGATCCAATTGCTGAATAAAAAACTATACTTTATTGTGTGCAGTCAAGACACTACTTATCATAAGCACCTGGTACGTGCCTCCATTTCTTCTTTATGAGACACGTGGGACGTGTAAAATGTTAGCTACCAGAAACTAATGTCGCAGTTTTATTAGTACTCCGAGCTATGTTTTTCTTATATCCAGGATGTTTAGTTTGAAGCCTCGGCTGTTTACAACTATGTACCGTTTGCTGGAAAATTTATAAACTTATGATGGTATGGAGCGTAAACCACGTGTGTTAGTCGAGCAAAACATTCCAGGACCTCCCAGCTTTCATACTTTGACCAGCCCAACCAGCTTTCTGTGGCTAGTTGGTCCCACGCCCAACGCTGCTGGATCATGTTACGTGTTGGCTACAGAGAGAGAAAGCTCCACCCAACGCAGTGGACTTCTGGCATCTCTGCTCACAAAAGCAAAGATTTGTTTTTTTAGCGTATTATCTCCCTACTTAGCGTAACCTAAATGGTAATTGCGACTTCGATCGTCAATTCTCTTATCTGATATGCTTACACATAAACTAAGCTAATTATTATTGTTTCGTAGCGTTTAATAATTTATTATTACAGGTGTCAAGTCATTTCTGCTCGTGATAGATATTGATATTTCTTAATGTTAAACAAGCATCCATTCTGTAACACGATAGCTTCAATTTTTACTTTCTCCTAATTACCACTTTCAATTGATTTTATTTATATTTATGACAATTTATAGTTCTTTTCGACTATTTAACACAACTCGGTCTACTTATGTTTTATATTATGCACCCGAATAGTCCTTACAGGCGTATCCACATCGCCTTAATCTTATCTATGTGTTAAACGATTTTCATGCCATAAAATAAAAACCACTCCCGAAATATCGAATAAAAAATTTGTTTATGTCTGAAAATACCGATTTTTACTCGATAAAAATTGGTAGATACATTGCTTTAAGTTTCCAAAATGAGGTACACGAAAGACTCGAAGAAAATAATAATTTTATGTTAATTAGTATGTGAAACACATTTGATAGAGGAGGAATATTAATTTTCGAAAGTGTGCCGACCAAGCCTATATCAAAAGATCCGTCCTATTCAAAATTGGAGAGCGAAGTAGCATGAAAATAGAACATAGCTGGCTGAACATTGTGTATATAGCATGAATGCAAGTGGTGTGTTCCGTCTGCTCATTAGGCAGTTAGTTGGTAAATGTCCCATTACCTTCTCTGCTGTATTCTCTCTATTGATAATCCTCTTCCGCGTATATTATATGTTGAGTAGATTTAATAGCGTCTATAGAAGGGAAAT